GAGGTAAATTGGGAAGGGGAGGAGGGCAACCACCATTGAGAATAGTTAGCATTGGGAGGGGCTAATCTGAATGAGAATTAATGCAACAAATCTCTGCTGAGTTTTCTCAGCTGTGACTAAGCTGAGACTTCATTGCTGCCTGAGTTAAGACACCAGAGACAAAACCAGTGGAGGCCGATGGCTCTTGATGCAGATTCAGCTACCCAGAGGGTGGGTCTTGGGTTCCTGGAAGCCTTGAACTGGGACATCAATAAACTGAGCCCTGGGCTAAGAGGCAGAGAAAGGGGCAGCCCTGGCACTGGTTCAAACCACAAGAAGCCATCTGTTGTTTTCCTTCCAGAAAGCAAACTGCTTTTTTAATAATAAAATAAATTTTATTGTTTAAAGCAGACTGACAGGAAAACTGTAAAGATTATGGAGTTTCCACACCCCTTACCTGATCCCCAGGAGTTAACATCCCACACTCTACATGCCTTGGCTACACTTGCTGGCCAGGCTGCCACACCTCCACACCCTGAGGGCAGTCTGAGAGCAGAGGGCACCTCAGCTCTGGTGGGTCTAGAGGAAGATGCCAAAGGCCCCAGTGAGCCTGGGGGCAGGAGACAGAGGAGGCTGGTGGCCAGTCCCAGGGATTCCTCAGATCATGGCCCCCCTTTCTTGCAGGCCACAGCCCTGAGCCTCAGAAGCTCTCCACTGTCACGCCCACTCCCAGGAAACACTCTCTGGGAGCCAGCCAATTCCTCATCTGTTGCTGCCAGGCCTGCTGGGCAGCTCCAAGCAGCCCTCATACATTAGGCCCTCCTGCCCTTTTATCACTGTCTTGCTCTTCTTGGTGCATACAGTCATCTATCAGCAACCTGTTGGGCCTGCAAAACCCAGACAAAGCTCTCTTCCAAGTTCTGGGATTTGTGGGGAGAGGTCCCTCCTGGGGTGCAGTGGGCACCAGAGCAGGGTTTCTCTTTGTTCTGGCCCTGGCTGTCCGGGCCCTTCCTTTCCTGTCTGGTTTCTTCCCCTTGCCTCCGCCCAGCCTCTCCCTGCCTTGATTGCCCATAAGCTTCTTTGCAAGTCCCTCTGCAGAGAACAGTGGAGTGCCTCTTCCCAGGGTTAATGCCTGGGGTGATCATCATCTCTCAAGCCTCTGAGTATCCCAGCTGTACACCCAGATCTCACTGAGGGTGGGGCACCTACAAAGGTCCCTCCCTGGGCTTGAGGCCCCATTGGTGTGGCCACCCTTCCCTTGTGCCCATGTGGCACCTTTGGCAGGGTCCTTGCTGCCTTCTTGAAAGGCTCTGAGACTGGAGGGGCAGACTTTGTTACTCCGATTTACAAGACTGGCAAGAGAGGCTCAGTGGTTGAACACTCTGACCTAAGTCCCACAGATAGGCTTTCATGGTCTTTTATCTAAGCCTCAAGGTCTTAGGCATTTACAGTTTTGTATTTTATTTGTGTCATTTCTTGAATTCTATCTTTCCCTTTAAATAGGACTCTTTTGACCACCACTATATCCCCAGGGCCTTGTCCCACTGCCTGGTCACAGTAGATGCTCAATAAATGTTAAAGAATTTTTGAATAAATGGATAAGTTAGAGGAAGAAAATTCATTCATTCACCCATTCATTCATTAACAATGGTTTGAGTGTCAGAGCCTTTGATGGGGAGAAAAATGAATAAGTTCCATTCCCTACTCTTGAAGAAATCAGTCTTGTGGAGAAAATAGAATTGTAAATAAAAAATTACAACATAATGCATAAAATGCCATAATGGAGGAACATTCCAAGTGCTGGGAGACAGCAGAGGTTATAATTCCTGGAGGGTTGGGAAGGCTCCAGGGAGGAGGGGGCTTGAAGGATGAATGGCAGGGCATTTCCCGGAGTGCTGCAGGTGGGCAGGGCGGGGCCCGTAGAGACGGGCCGTGCTCTGGGAAGGCCTGGGGGAGCAGGACTTGAAGCCAGGACGCCACGTATTTGGATCTTCCCCTTCACCACGAGAAGTCAGGGATTTCCCACATATGCCCCCAAGATCTAGGAGGATTATACCACCTATCATTCTTCTTTGATGACGAGCTGCCAGAAACATCTCTTCTGAGAGGGAGTTCCACGTAGGAGTCGATTTGAAGCAATCATGAGATTTCTTGAGCCAAAAGCTCAAATACAACCTCATCTAGTCTGCTCTTTCCGCTCTCTCATTTTGTAATTCCATCCAACGCGTCATCAACTCAGTGGGTCGCAGCTGTCTGCAGGCAATTTCATGCGGTCTTCCTCCCGCTGCTTCTCCTGCTCACACCCCTTCTCTCTCACAGGGACTTAGCATAGGTTCTGACCCTCAGTGCCAGATACCGCGATACTTTGCGTTGGTGCTGGTGGCAACATGTCTGGGTTGTAGGTAAGATATTAGAGTGCGTGTGTGTACACCTAAGGAAGGGAGTCAGCACTCTTGGTGGCCAAGGGGGCCTGTGGGTTTCCTCTGAGGTGGGAAGGACATAGGGTTTGTTGTCATTAAGAACCAGAGGAAAAGGTAAATGGCATCTGTTGTGCAGGGAGCAGGAAGGGAGTCATTGGTAATAACTTAGGGGCTTAATGGCTGGGTTATTTTGGTTGTGTCTGCAATAGAGGAGGGTCACATATCAATGACAAATGTCATTGAAAGGCAGTGTCAGCTTGTGGAGAAAGCCCCTGTATCTGTTGTCATTACTCTATGGTTGGAGTAATTTTAAAAGAGGAACCTAGTAATTTTGACTAAAAATAACTTAATGACTTAGTTATTATACACACACACACCATCCTTACCCACAGAGCACTCCTGGGTCCCCCTCCTGCTGTTTTTACCTCAATTTTATTCTTACTGGTATCTTTACAGAGAATGGCAGAGAAATCACAGATTTAGAGTACCTAGAAGTTATTACAGCTCCATATTTCAAACACCTCCATATCAAGTTTCTTTCTTCTCACTCTATATACATAATTTACACAGCAGGGGCTACAGTCTAACACTTCTAAACAACAGGGGACACAGACAAGAACCTGCAGGGGGAAGTTTCATGAACTGAGTGAAGAAGAAATCAACTTTTGATATGGAATTAAAATCCCAACTCACTATCTCAGGCCTTTCTTTTCTGAGATATTCCCTGCAAAGGTAGGTGAGATGGGAGAGGAAGATGTCATGGGATGAGGAGGACAGGTGCCTGGCCTGGGGTGGAAAGGGCAGCTGCAGAGAGGCCATCAGTACTGACAGGCCCTCCCATCAGCAGACAGGAAGGAGCCCCTGGTACCCTATTCCAACATGGTCACTGTGTTTTATTCTAGCGGACGTGCACCATGGCAGACACCTGGCAAATACCTGGCATGCAGGTGTGTGTGCTGTTTCCTAGTCTGGGTCTGACACTGGCTCCTGCCTTGCTCTCTTTTGAGCCTCTTCTCATCTACTTCTTGTAACCAGCCCTTGATGATGACTATTTCTAGTCCCAGGCCCACTCCAGGCTTGGCCTCCCAGGGACCACCTGATGAAGTTAAGATCTGTGGCTTTCTGTGTGTTTATTTTTATAGCTGGATTGAGTTGCTCTAAGGCAGGGCACATGCAAACCAGTAATTTGTGAGAAGCTCTAGGGGAAGGGTGCCTTGCACAGCAAGTCGGGGGCACAGGAAGTGTATCGGGGGTTTAGGATGCTTCAGAACACAAGGCCCAAGGGCCCTGAGTAAGGGTTTGGCCTCCTGAGCTGGGCAGAGCCACGGCATTTGTGCAAGGTGCCTCTGGTGGGGCAGGCCGGGTATGCAGGGAGCAGGCTCCTGAGGGTAACCATGAGGGGCATGAGACAGAGGGTGGCTGAGGGGTCCAGGCAGAGACTTTCTGAGTTTAATCTGGAATCTGTGCCACATTGATGGGGAGGAGCAGACATTGGTCCTGCACCCACAGGACAGTACATCTACACGGCAGCGGACTCCCAGGCCCAGGCCCTCGTGAGGGAACTGGTTGCAGGGCAGTTTTGCTGAGGACTGGGGTACACAGGACATTGGCTGGAGTGTCGATCTTCAGTGCCCATCAGGCAATGCGATTGCTGCAGTGGCCTTTAGGCCTGGGTGGAGCAGAATCCGCAGGGGCTGTAGAGCTGGGAAGGAGGCTCTTTCAAGCAAAAGAACAGACAGTAAGGGGTGGATTTGGAGAGTGAGAGCCACCAAGGGACTGAGTGAAAGTGGCTTGAGAGGGTGGTTTAAGCGGCAAGAAGGCTTCTGAGGCAGGGCTGTTGGAATGAGGAAGAGGATGCTAGAATGGTCAAAAGTAGGTAGGGGGTGTCTCAGTATGACCCAAAGCCTTGGCTAGAACTGAGTTGTGCCTGAAATCACCTGGGGGCCATGGAGGGCCTGTGGGCAGGAGAGGCTGGCAGAAGCCAGGCCTGGGCCCTACCTCAGAGAACACCTCCCAGCACCACAGGACCCAAGGAGAGGAGAGTCCTGGGGTTCCAGGGTCTGTGCTCCCCTGACTTAAGCCATGTCCTCCAGCTGCAGTGGACTCAGCTTCTCCCTTGGCCTGTCTTCATCCATGGCTTCTTCCTCCTCTGGCTCCTCAGCATTCCGGGCTAGGCTGTCAGGCCCGGACACAGTCCCCAGCACTTTGGTGCTGTGCTCCTGAGCTCTGGCTCGGAGCGCCGCTATGCTGTTCTCCCTCAGTTCCTCCTGGGACATGGCCGCTGGAGCATCGGTGCCCCGCTCCTCTTGCTCCATCTTGTCCAGCTTGGGCAGGGCCTGGCGCTCCACCTCCGGCTTCCTCCCCGACTCCGCTGCTGCCTCCAGCGACTTTTTGTGCATCCCTAAAAAGAATTGTTGGTATTCGGGTTTAGAAAAGCGCCTGGGAAAGCCATCTTGAACTGAAAACAGCAAAGATAGAGAGAGGCCAGAATTAAGGACAAGCAGAAAGCCTTACTTCACACACTTCACACACCAAAGTCGCGCGAGTCCCGGGGGTTGGGCCAGGGAGGTGGGAGGATGGCCGGAGGATGGGGCTGCAGGCCAGCAGCTAGGCACTGGGACTACAGAGGGCTTCTCCAAGCCAAGTTCCTGGACATCTGGTCCCAGGGGCAGGCGGTTCTGTCCCTTCCCAAGCACAGCACTTGTCCCCCATCTCTTCCTCCTGGGATTCCTGATCTTTGAACCCCAAGATAAGTTGGTGCTGCTATTAAGACATAGGCCCTGATGGCAGGTAGAGTTAAAAGGAGGAAGATCTTTGATAAACCAGAATGGAGGCCAAAGGAACCTAAGGGGGGGAGGTCCCCTCAACCCCCAAGGGAGGCAGTTTGATTCACCACAATCCCACCTACAGCCAAGATGAGGGTATAGACCCTAGGGCAACAGCCACCCTTCTCACAGGACAAAAGAACCCACAGTCAGGGACCCATTCAGAATGAGAGTCCTAGGCACCTAGCAGGTGGGTGCAAAGCAGAGACACCAAGTCCTGGGCCCAGCCTGCCCTTTGAGCCCCCCAAGGGAGACTGTGAGGTCTGCTCTGAAGGGCATCTCTCCTGCCAGGCTGTTGTGGCCAGGTCTCCGGCTCCAGAGCTCTGTGCCCGCCTCTAAAGGGGAGCCCGCTCTCCTCACCACAGGGGCAGGGCCCCAGGGAGTGCGGGCTCTTACCCAGCAGCCATGGGGCACAGGAGTCCATGATGCCATCCTTGGCGGACTTGAGGATGGACTCGGGCAGGGGGATGGAATGCCGCACCATGGCCCCGTAAAGCCCGTACTCCGCCATGACGCTGCTCCGGCCCCAGCACTTCTCCCGCTTCCTCCACTTGGCTCTGCGATTCTGGAACCAGACCTGCAAGGGCCAACCACCGGGTCAGGGGCATACTCTGAGGGCCTCAGGGCCAGGTCCTAACTCCCCTGGCTGCCTTTTGCTAAGGTCCCCACCCCTTTGAGTGCCAGGGGCTCCGTCCCCTTGTGACTGCAGGTTTGCAGCAGGTTATCCTTACTTAAGCTCACCCACCACGTGGTATCCTCGGGGTTCCTCCAGGCTCAGGGGTGTCCAGCACGAGGACACCAAGTGATACAATGGGAAAAATGGGTCTTTTTCTAATCGAAGCAATTCTAGGCTGATGGGCTAGAGACACCATCCCTTAGGAAATTATAACAAAATTCTCCTGGTGTGAGGAGCAAGTAGTGGTGGAGACCTAGGAGCCTGCCGCAGGGTACACTCCAGAATGTTCCTCTGACCCAGAAGCTGACTGGGGCAAGGTCTGAATGAGCTTGGGATACCCTGGGAGCGGTCTTGGAGGAGATCCCACGTTCCTGCCATGCTCGGGGGAGGGGGCAATTTCTCGGTCTCCCAAAGCAGCTCTCCTGGGACTTCCAGCAACTGACCAGAGCCAGAGGCAGCCGCACTGTCCCTCAAACAGGGAAGAGCCCACGGGAAACTGGTGGTTGCCGGAAGGACCCTCAGGCAGGCCCCCTCGCGTCCCTTCGCAGCCCCTCCGGGCCCTGATGCCCAGGGCGACGAGATGCCCAAGGCGCCCCTCGGAGTGGGGAGGGAGGGGAGCACAGAGGCGGGTTCCGGAAAATCTATTCGTTTCCTCTGCGATTTCCATTCCCTCGCCGGGTTCTCCCCCCCACCCGCCCCCGTCCCTCTGGGCCCCCTCCCCCGCCCTCGGCGGCTGAGGTTTCAGCTTTTGATGAAAAATTGCTCCAGCTCTATTCAGGAGGCGGCAAAAGAAGAGTCACCCCCAGGGGCAGCTCTGGGCTGATTGAAAAATAAGTTAATTTCTGTTTGAATCGATGGGCCTCAGGCACTGAAATATCACGGGAAATTAAAGCGGCTGCTCTCTCGGGAGCCGCGGCATTGACCCGCACTAATTAATGCTGGGGAGGCAGCGCGAGCCGCGCCTCGAGCCGCTCCCCCTCCCCGGGCGACCCCAAACACTTCTCATTTAACTAATTAGACGGGGAAAATTGGGTGTTAATTTGTTTAGGATTTTTCCCCCTCTTCCCCCGGCAGCTCCCTCCCAGGCCCCCGCCCCGCACCGGGGCGCGGGAAATGAATGCGGGGCTCGCCGGCAGATGGCTGCCCGGGTCACTCTGCAATCTTCTCCGACTTGATTGCTTGATTAGGTCGTTAGCACATTAAAAAAAAAAATTGCTTGCCGTCTGGCGCTGGCGTGATGAGTGGGACGTGCGGCAGCGCCTGGGTAATTTATCTTTTTATACGGCAAAGAATTTGATTTCAATCTGCAGATATATGGGGCGCCTTTGACACCTGTTTAACATCGCGCCGCTGACAGCTTAACCCGTTGCTGCCGCGGCCGCTGTTGAGGATCGGCGGGGCTCCGTGTCCCCGCGTCGCAGCTGTTCCCGCCGCCTCCGCCGCGTGGCGCTGTGAGCGTCCGGGAGGCCCAGGCAACCGGAGCCTGAGGCTGAGCGCTCCCGGCCGGGTCCAGCAGGGGGCGTCCCGGCGGCCGCCTCGCACCCGCAAGGTCGCCGGAGAGCCCCGCGGGCACAAACGCGCTCTGGGAGGCTGCGGAAAGACGCACGGTCCACGCACACATTTAAGTTGACCCAAATTGTGTAACTGTTTCAGAATTTCATTTGTAAATAACCGGCAGCCTCTAAAAAATAGGAGAAAGGCGGCCGCACACTGGCCAGCGTCTTTAGAAAACTATCTCTGGTTCCACCCTGGGTGGCGCCGCCTCCACCGACCCACATTTTTGCCACCACCGCGTCTGGCACCTGCTGTTACTGCGCGAGCCCTCCTGGAGCGCTGCGGAGCCAATGTGCAAGGCCTCCCCGTAGACTGTATCCAGACCGCCGTGAGTGACCCCTTCCAAAGAAGAGGTTTATATAATTTGAAGGCCACTAGATGGCTGTGCTCTGTGCACAAAAGGGCTGGGAGAAGTGAGCAGTGCGAGCCCGTGCTGACTTGGCCATGGTCCTGACCTGGCTCTGTGCTGTTTAGATCTCTCCCCAGCACTGCCTGCTTGTCCTGAAGGCTCTCTGCCCCGCTGTCTGCCCTATCCAGTGGTTTGTCTGAAGCCTCTGTCGGGTCCCATCCTCCTTCCCATTAGCACTTGGTCACCCTCTACAAGTACCTACTTATCTCAAGCTGCCTCCTCCCACAGAGGAAGAATCTAAATGGACTAATCCACATAAAAGTTTAAGTGACTTCTGGATTCATCCACCTCTCAGAGAAGACAGCAAAGAATGAACCCACCCATTGCAGATGGAATGCCAAGGCACCAAGTCTGACCACAGAGGCTTTCTTTATGAATCGAAGTAAGCCATCTGCTTCCTGGTCAGTGACCTTCCTGCTTGAATGCAGTGCATTATAAAACAAGGGCACAACCTCTTAACTGGAACCTGTGGAGCCAGGCTCCAGATTTTTGGATTTTAGAAAGAATTTGTGATGTATACGTCACAAGTTACACGACACCCTGCAGTAGTGGCCACACCATAATCAACTCATCAGTTTTGATTTCTGCAGCAGAACATACATACTCACACTGAGAGGGATAAATAAAGATCTTAAGGTTGGGTCCAGTTTTTGCCACCACTGAATTTTGATGATAAACTTAGAGAAGAACTGTCTACTTTTACAATGGTTTGGATTTAGGGATTCTGGAGAAGGGATTGTGGAATATATGAAGGCAGAGATGCCCCCACCTGCCCCAGTGTGGATGCGTGGGAAGGGGCATTGCCCTGGCTTCCTCCAGATCCCATGAGCATTGGTGCTAGGTAGGGGTGCAGTGAGCAGTGCTTCCACATGGAAATAGCTTCTTTATTGGAGCATAAAGGTGTGTAGACTTAAGACTCATATCATCACTGGGGCCTGTGAACAGAACCATTTTCCTGGGTATCCTAATTTGGGCAAATGAATAACTGGTTTTCAGATCAGATTTTGCCCACAGACACTCCCAGGGGAGTTGGTGCCAGCTGGTCGCTCAAACCAGGAGTCATCCAGACCCTCAGTTATGGGCTCCTGGAATGCCTGGCTCTCTGCAAAGACCAGATGCTGCCCCAGTTTATGGAGGAATGAATCTTGGACAGCCAAAACAATTTCCTTTTAGGACAGTTGGCAGGGAAGCTGTGGCAATGGTGCCTTGGAGGGTAGTGGACAAGGGATTAGAATTAACCCTAACCACTCTTCCTATTGCCTTTCTCTTTCCCTTCCTGGAAGCAACCGGCAATTGTACAGAACTCTGAAGTTTTTAAGAAGCAGTGAAGTCATCTGGTCCTGAACTAGAATTCCCAGCTGTGACTAAAATTGCTGTGTGATCTTGAGCAAGTTGCTTGCCTTCTTTCTGTCTCAGAACTCCTCAAACAAAATAATACCTACTTTTGGGGGTTGTTTTCAAGATTAATGAAGTAATTGCGAGTTCCCCAAATCAGTGCTTGTGATGCAGAAGTTGTTCAGTAAATGCTTATTATTATTTCAGTGGAGACACAGAAAACTAGTGGGAATCTGCCCAGAAGGCAGGTTAATCAACAGCATTTCCTGCCTCTTTGGCCTCCTCCACTTGTCCTTTAGCAAGGCTGGACTGACTAACAGTAACAACAACTCCAGGAGAAGGGCAAAGGGACAGAACCAACCTTCAGGCTGTAAGATCTTAATACAGATAGCCTCTAGTTTCCCCTCTCAGATCCAGAGAGCCAAAGAGATGCCACTGCAGTTCTCCTCACATTTCTGATGTGGGGCTCAAATGCAAGAGAACACCCGTCCAGTGCCCAGGACTCCCTGCAAATCGGCTGTGGTCAGGAGCCGGAAGACCTAGGTTGGAGATCTCTGTTCTGCCTCCTATTGTCTTTGTGACCTTGGGTGCATTTTTAAACCTTTTTAGCTTTCAGCTTCTCATTTGCCCTGTGCCACCATCTCCTTGAATGTTTGTTGTGAAAATTAAATAAAATAGTGCACGGGAAATGCCTGGCACATAGTGAGAACTAAAAAACGCTTAATGCTGGATGAATTCTGTGGATAAATGTGCAAGAAGATGAAGCTTTGCTTTCCAGCAAATGTTCAATAATATTTTCCACATAAATCCAGGTCCTCCCATCTCCCAACTTTGAGATTCCTTCTCAGCATTTAGACCATTTTTCTTACTTGATCTCTTGGTTCTGGCAAGCCCAGAATATTCCTTCAATCCTCTCACTCACTTTCCTGGCTGCCCACTTTCTAGAAGAGACTGTTCCTGTCCCATGGAAAGTGGGTCCAGAGCGCTTCAGGAGAACCTGCACCACGGCTACAGTGGGGACCATTGCCCTGCCTTACACTTCAGGGCTCCAAGAACCTGAGAAGGGACCCAAAGTGACAGCAAGGGTCACCGGGTTTGGAGTCCCAGGCAAAGGAGAGTTGGGAGGATCTTCCAGTTTGGGTAGGAGTCTGGGTTTCCTGGTGTATTTCCTCTCAGAGATGGTGCCCTGGCAGGGCTCAAAAAACCCAGGTAGGATGCCTCTGGCTGTCAATAGCTAGCCTGGCAGGTGCCTCCACAGCTGACAGAGATGGTCCCCAGAGCTTGTGCCTCCAAGGTTGGATGTTGGCCAGGGAAGGGCTTCTCGCCACGTGGGTGCCCTCCTGCTCCTAGGCACACATGAAGCAGGCCATCAGCTCTTTCTCTCTCTATGTGGGCAACCAGCATGCGCAGCTTTGCCCATGACTTCTTTTGCCAGCACAGAGCTCCTGTCCTGCAAGCTCCCATCCTTGTATTCCCATGAGATAGTATGCCCGGGGCTCCTTCTGTCAAAGGTCTCCCAGGAGACCCTCTGCGGTCCTCCCAGGATTGTCCCCCTAGAGAAGACACTTTGTGTGATGGATGTTCTCTGCACATTCTGGTCATATGCCTCCCCAGGGCCTTCCCTCCAATCTTGCCTCATGCCATCAGGCCTGGCTCTGTCTGCCATGTGGCAGTTTCCATCACTCTCACCCAGCACCTCTCCTCTCCTCTGGATGGAAGGTGATTAATTTGGGCTCATTGCTGGTGTAATTTAGTGACTTAATACTAAAGTGCTGCACACCCACTCAGCACTTCTGACACCGTATTTCTCCCCTTCCAGTCCCATGTTCAGGATCAAAGCTTAGTCTGGTTACAGCCACTGATGTCCACTAGGGAGCAGCTTTGTCCATGTTTCCCAGCAGCCCAGGCAACATGGGCCCACACACGCCAGGTCATCTCATTCTCCGTCCTACCCTGTCATACAGAACTCCACTTTCTTCCACTCATATTAACCCACTTAAAACACAGAAACTCCTTTCCTGAGCCTCTGACCCAGCGTTTGTGCACTGGCAGCACCCTATCACCTGGAGAGCTTTAAAAACAGATGCCAAGGCTCTGTACCAGCCCAATTCAGTCAGAAGTGCTGGGCACAGATGGGAGCCTGGCATTTTAGAAAGCTGCCCTGTGATTCTGAGACGCCCTGAAACTCTTTCCCATTTAGGCACTATCTTATAATTTCTGGAATATAATTCTCTAAAACTTCATTCCCTTCCCTTGGGCGGGGCACTTTAAGAGAGACAGAATTGAACAGTGCTAGTCAGAGAACCCAATATATACACACCAAGCTAAGAGTGAGTGTGAGATGTGGTTCTGTCCACTCTGCACGCCCACATCCATAGCCATGAAATATAGGCATTTTTAATAAGTACAACTTTTGTCAGAGGAGAATATAGTAAACACGTAAGGGAATATGTATATACCCTGATCTTACAATTCTAGGAATTCTATTTCCTGCAGAGGAAGTAAAGTCAGTCTGGAAACCGAATTCCTCTCCTCCAGGGCTGACATCTGGCAGGGGCTTCAGAATACCATATCCCAGTATTTTTTGACACACAAAAGAAGACTGTGTGTCCGAGTTGGATATGGAGACACAGAATCTCTTTCCCCAATAATGCACGGTATCCCTTTGCCCCAACTGGGAGAAATGCTCACAGAGCAAGTAAGTGCTCACTCTTAAAGCAGAAAGGCAGAGGAAATCGGCCGCTGCTGTGGGTGCTGGGCCACCGTCACTGCCCTTCACACTGATGATTCCAGTTTATACAGACAGGCATTTGTGTTCCCCTCATGGGCCCTCACGTGACAGTAGATGAGTTCTGGGTTGGAATCCCAGCCTATTACTTCACCTCTCATCCAGAAAATGGGGATAAGAAGAGCATCTAACTCATCATCTAGAGGATTTAGTGAAACAGGGCATAGAAAGCACTTACTATTTGGGACAATGGTAAGTACTTACTAATGCCAATAATAACAATACTTTTTAAAAATAGCATTTGGGCAAAATATTATTATTATTATTTTACAAATGAGCAATTTGAGGCTCAGGGTTTAACTTGTTGGCAGTGAAACAGAGATTAGAAATAAATGTGCCTGACTTTTCATGTCCACACTGGGTTCTCGTTAGACTTTAGGCAGGAGACCTCAGACACATCCCGGGGGTTTACTTGGGTATGTAGCTGTCCACCTGGGACTGTTAAACACCTATCCTGCTCCCCTATTCCAATGGCAGCCCAGGCTCCCAGTGAGGGAGGTGATCCTGGGGGGACCCCTCCCTTGGAAGAACCCCACCTCTTTCTTTTACAGGTGAGGAAGCTAAGAGATGGGAGGTGGCCTGGCCTCTGCCATGCCTGCTGGGTGTCAGAGCCAGAACCGCTCCAGGGCCCTGACATCTGGCCCAATAACGTTTCGATTCCACTTTGAGAATGCCTAACTTCAGACTTGGAGCCTTTAATAACTACTCTTTAATAACTACCCATCTCCCCTCCAACACACACACAAAGCCTCTGACTGACAGCTGGGGGAGGGGAGTTAGCTTTCCATCTTTAGCTGCACTGTTTCCACTGAGATCAACATACTAAGAGGAAATGACTGGAAGTGGGGGCAGTGTAGCCACGGAAGTGTTCTGGAAGTGTTCTGGAGTCTAAAAGGAGTCGGGTCTGAATGCTGGCCTCTGTGCCTTAAGTTCCCATCTGCAAAATGGGAATAGAAGTATAAGCTAGCTCAGTGGATGTTCTGAGGATGCTCTGGGGACACACACAAACTATCTTTGGAAGGAAACTGGTTACCTCTGGGGGCTGTTGGTGGGTTGTGGGGAGGGAGATTCATGTTTCACCCTTTTGAACTCATGAATTTACCTACTCAAAAGTAATTTTTATGAGTGAATTTTTGGGTTTTTTCTAGAATAGTGCATGGTACTCAATAAATATTGGTTACTTTTATACAGAAGGTTTAAAGCACCCCCTGCTTCCCCCTACCCGCCGACACCTGACCTCAAACCATCTCTGTTTCCCCGCTTCAAGTCAAAGCACAGGCTTCAAACCAAGAGGCAGGTGGTGAATGTGGGGGCTTTACATGCAGATCTGGGTTGCAGCCCTGTGTCTCCAACTTACTAGCTGCATGGTGTGGGCAAGTTGCTGTGCCTCACTTTCCTTAGTTAGAAAAGGAGGCTGATCGTCTGTACCTCACTGGCTGTCACCAGGATTTAATGAGATCAGGGCAGCGCTGAGAACACATTTTGCAAATGGCTTGTTGCATCTGCATAAGGGTGAGGTGCCACTCTCATACCCATTTTCCAGGTGAGGAATCAGAGGCTCTGGGAGGTATAGTGGTTTGTTCACAGTCACTCAGCTGGTAAATGGCAGAGCCAGGATATGTCTAGCTCTGGAGTCAGTGTCCCTAACAACTACACCTCCTTGCTTTTCAACCCCTGGCACGTGGAAACTGCTCTGTGAATTATAGCTGTGATTGTCATTGATGATGTACTAAACATTTCCCAGGCTGCTTGGCAAAACACTTGGGGGCCAGGCTGTCTGACAATCCATAAACACCTTCTGGGGGTGCATTTAACCAAAGCCCCATGTGGTACGCAGAGAGTTGGAGAGATTCTTGCCTCAATTCTCCCATACCCACAAATTCCATAGCCAGTCTTGGCAGTCCCAGAGCAGTTAGCTGTCTCTTCCTCCCTGCTGGTTCTGGTGGTTCTAGACACCCTATGGACACCCCTTGGGCAACTTAAAGAAGCCTGGCATCGCCTGTGGGAGCATTTGCAGCCATGCAGTTACAGCTGAGGGAGAGCCACCCCAATCCCTTCAAACACAACCCCCACTGCAGCCCAACAGATTTTAGGACACCCTATAGCAAGAGACAAGCTCTTCTTTCCTACTGGTCAATAGTGCAAACGTGGGGCCCAACAGGGGGATTAGTCAGCCCTGCACCCCACCCCAGCAACTGGATTGGGCCCTGGCACACAGATACACACATATGATTCAGAATCTACCCTCAGCCTTACCCCACGGAACCCAATTGGGTGTCGGGGATCATGGATCCCGGCCAGCATGGATAATGCACCAAACAGATAATCTGCTTATGAATAATTGGGCTTATTGCTAGTGTCAGTGTCTAAAGCCAATGTCTGAAATTCCAAATAGATTTCCAGGGGAGAGGAAGATTTTTCTGCACAAGCAGCTCATGCCTCATTTCCAATTCCCTGGTTCCCTAGTGAGAGAGCGCAAAGTAAGTCACCGACCTATTTGGTTCCTTCTGTAGCCCCACTCCCACCCCAACACACATGACACCTGGAGACACAGGACATCTTGCCTGGGAGGAGATGCAGTGTGGAAGGGATTTCAGGAAGCAGGGACCCTCCACCCTGCCCCCATTTCTCAGCCTCAGCAGTGAACTACTCTGGACCATTCTTTGATGGGAGGGGCTTTTTTTTAAGGTTGTGATCCAGCCAAGGCAAATCCGAATCTTTTGGTAATGTTCTCCCACCCTATTCCCTTCTTTGGCCTTATGGAAGCCCTGCCTGGAAAACCATCAGATTTCATCTTCTCCCAGAGAACTGATTGAGTGGTTCCCCTCCTGCCCGGTGAGGGTGTTTCTGGACTTAGGAAGATTCTGTTGCTGATGAAAGGAGTCCCTGGGCCCACCCCAGCTGAGAGCATCCGAGGCCAGACTAGTGGCTGTAGGCCTCCAGGAGAGAGGCAGGGCTTAGTGAGCCACACGTGGAGGCACTTGTCCTGGCCACACCCCAGACCAGACCAGGGAGAAGTAAGGAGCGGGATCTCAGGGCAGGGCCAGCTGTTTGGCTGTGAGAGGAAGAACGTGCTTCAGATGCATGGGAGCAGTGGGGAGCAGGTAGGAAGGAAGGGGGGCAACCTTTTCCTCCTAGGGAGGGGAGGGGAGCGAAGGGGAACAGACCAGGGTCAGGGCTGGAAGCTGCTCTCCCCACTCTCACTCCCCCAGCCAGCCACCCAGAGAGGCCTGGGGCGGACACCGAGCTGGACCTAGGATACATCTGCCCAACAGAGACCTGCTGAGAACCCAGGAGCCCCCAGAATTCCTTCTCCCACACAAGCCCCCTGAGGGTCTGTTTGACACACTCCTCAGGAAGCCTACAGTCTGGAACAGTGGACCAGGACAGATCTGCTAAGTCCTTTTTGCCCCAACAGTGCCTACCTCGCATGGTAAGGTGTTCAGCAAATACCTGTCAGCTTCAACGTCTCCGTGATGACATCACCCCAGGCAAGCATGGGCCCATAGCAGGGGGTGAGGTGAGGTCAAGGGTGTCTGGGAGCCTGGGGCAGCCAGTGTCCCTGGGAGTGGGGAAAGTGTGAGAGACAGGGACCCGGCGCTCCATCACCTGTATCCTGTCTTCGGGCAGCTCCGTTTTCATGGCCAGCATCTCCCGGGCATAGACATCTGGGTAGTGGGCCTCATTGAACGCCTTCTCCAACTCCTCTAGCTGGTAAGAGGTAAAGATTGTCCTGAGGGGAGCAAAACCAGACACTCAGGACCCTGAGACTGAAACGGACTGTCCCAGAGGGGACAGGGTTCCCTCCCCTATGCCTCGTGGACAGACCCAAACCCAGGCTGGCTCAGCACAATGGCACACAAGCTCACACAGACTCAACATGTTCACACACACCCTCAAGCTTAACCCTTGGGACTCTCCATTCTAGGCTGAGGGCCCACTACCCTTCTGGCAGTGGGAAGGAGCATTATTTCAGCCTTCGGTGAATCTTTCTGGACGTGCTTTGAGGGAAAGGGTGTTAAGAGAAATTTTAGAAAACCTCAGAAGCCCTTCTTCCTCCTCCCAAGCACAGAGAGAGGCTCACCAGATAAATAAAAACCTCAGTCCCACAGGGATCCATTTCCTGGGCTCCTCTCACAGGCAGTAGTTGATGTTTTAAATTGCCCTCAAAGTTCAAAGGCTTACCAGAAGGTCAAACTCAACTGCACTGCCAGTGTTTGTACAGCTGAGAAAGAATCTCCCCCCCTTCAGCCCACCTCAGTACTCAGCCTTCCTCACCTGCCCTTCCCCTGCCATCACCAGACCCACCCACTCCTTAGAGTGCCCTTAGAAACACCCCCCTTCTGTGCTCTTTCCAACCAGCCCTCACACAGGCTCAGCCACTCAAGGAGGGGTGCCCTATGCTGGGGGTTCTATTCAAGTGACCTTGAGAGAGCCTACTTACATGCTGCCCCCCTCCCCCACAAAGCAGTTCACACCGACCTATTTGGGTCCTAATCTGCTTTAAGAATCTGGTAAAACACCTCCTTGCACCACAGGATGACGTGCAAATGAATATGCCAATACATGAGATGTTGCCTCCAATATTTGGAGGCTCATAGAACCCCCTTACTTGCACAAACCATACAAGCGCATTTACAGACACAAATTCTTCTCTTTTCAGACCTTAATTTCACCAAATTTCAAGCGACCTTTATCTTGCACCCTCATCAACAAGCAAACAGGCAATATCAGCCAGATTCCACCAACCCAACTTGTAAAAATGGTACATTCCTTGCTTGAGCCCCAGAACTTGGACCTTGGGACCAGCATGGGGGTTTAAAATCCCTCACTGATTCCCTCAGCCTCACCCAACCCAAAGAAAAAGTACAGTTGTAAGCCTCCTACTTTCCTAGTGCTGGTGTCGGCTTTAACATCTGGGGCAGATGCAGGGGATGTGTGAGGAAGAAGGATTCTGCTCTTCATAGAAAATCACTGGTTTGATTCTAAATCATTCCTCACAGTCTTTTGGGGAGGATGGAATGCTTATGTTATACAGAAAGTTAATCTTCAGAATTTGGAATATCTGTTGCTTTTTATTTCACTCCTGCCACTTAGTGAAGGGCCCCCAAACAGATCATCAAAATAAACAATCAAAACATACAAGTCCTTCTCATAACTAGGGAAACTGAGGCACCCAGGTGTTGTGGCCTGGCCCAAACCAAGAGGAGAGATGATGATAGGTCATTTCGGGCCAATCGAGTGCCAGCCTCTGCTTGGAAGGGCTCTCACTCAAAAACAAAATGAAACCTCAAATCCCTGAAACTCCCCTCATTCCCGGTCCACAGCTAACCCAGGTGCTGATGCTGACAGGCTCTCCACCGGCATTACTGTGACCCAAACTCTGCTCCTGGCTTTACTCAGAACCTCAGACCTTTTAGGTTCCCTTTGTATATCCGGAGCTTTCTGGGCAAAGAGAAGCGCTAATGGGAGACTCCCAAGGCTGCGGCTCCTTCCCCTTTCCCCTCTCCAACCCCTGCTAAGCCAGCGGCTTCTGGGAGACCAAGGGACACCCAGTTCTCATCACCAGATTCCAGGGGCTCTTAACTGAAATTTCCAAATGAGAGAAGCTCAGAAAAACACATTTTTTTTTTTTTACTAATTAAAAACTGTACCAGCAATTCATAGCCATTCTCTTCTCTCTAGTAATCTGCCCCCTTCCTGTACCAGCAATAGCCAGAAACCTGGAGCCGGTGGAGAATTGTCCTATCTCCCCGGGAGCCCTCCAAAGCTCCCAAGGCTTCCTTCCCACTTCCCAAGGAGTGGATGTCAGGTGAGGACAGAGAGTCAGGAACCTTAAGCGTGGACTTTGGGCAATGCACTAGCCAGATCCAAGCATCACACGGGAGATGCCCTGATGCAGAAGCACTGTTCCTCTGTCACCCAGGGTTTTGGGGGTGCTTTTCCTGGGCTCGCCTATCTACGGGCACCCCTTCCCCCATTCCCACACCGGCGCAGAAGCAGTTCAGCCCGACTGTGACCTGCCCTCCCTCCAAGGTCCTGGTCCCTGTCCCTTCTCTGGGAAGCTGGCAGGACTGCCCATCGGAGACCAGCAGGAGATGGGTGCATGAGAGGTGTTTTCATAAATATTCGTTGGATGAATGAATGTAACAAATGACCCGGGATCAGGACTAAAAACAACGTTTCCGTTAAAAACAAAACAAACAGCTGCTGAAGGGAATGGGAACCGAGGTCACCAAGAAACCAACTCAAAGTTCACCAGCATTCGAACTGGACCTGCTGGGACCTAAGAGGCCAGGAGGAGCCTGTTTTAAATGGTGGTTGTAAATAATGGAGCCTCCGAGTGTCAAGGAAGAAAGAGAAAAGCACCCAGAGGAAGAGAGCACAGGGGCTGAGAGCAAATTGGGAAGAAAGGGATTAAGTGGGCCCCGGTGGGGAGAGCCTCCCCCATGTCCCTAGAGCCAGTGAGCAGAACGCTGAGGACACCGCACCTGGACTGAGGGGGCAGAGAGAGACCTGGGGATGCAGGGCCCAGGGAGCAGCACTCAGAGAAAGTCGGGCCGATTCTTGGTCCTTCCTGCTTTATTTCCTTAAGAACCTCCTCATGAATTTACACGGGGAACTGGTAGCGGTGTCGTAGCAAAAGGGAGTGCGGGTCTGGGGTGTGGGAATTACTTTTCAGCGTATGCCTTTGGGCACCTACTCAATTTTAACTTTGTGCAACTAATGTCTATTTGAAGGCACATTTTAAAAACCCTCTCTTTATTCTGTACCTCAATACAGCCCACCGCACTCTAGCTGGGGCTTGTGGGGCTATCCGGTCCACACACTCCCTCCCCACCCCCATTTTACAGACAAGGAAACTGAGGCTTACGGAAGGGAAGAGACCATCTCAGGATCACAAAAGAACAGATGCCTAACGAAAATTTTTCATCAATGCAGATATCACACTTAAAATTTGGGGGACGGTGGGAGCCCAGAGTCCTGGGCTTGGCACCACGGACAGGGACCGCGGGAGAGGAATTGGGGCTGGGGTCAGAGGGCAGAGGAGGTGGGACCCGATCTGCCCGCCCCGCGAAGTGCGCGGCTCTCCGAATGCGCTGGGGCAGGGATCGCAACTGCGGGCCTCCTGCCCCGTCTGGCTCCTGTTTGGCCCTGGTTGGAGCCTGTCTCCAGCAGGAGAAAGCCCGAGCAGTGCCGCTTCCCCGGCAGCCGCTCAACACCTTCACCCGGCGCGGGGGGACGCTAGGGTCCTTGGCGGATGTCCCCAAACAACCCCCGGTGTCCCCGCCCTGGAATCAGGAGTCGGCAAAAATAGGGCTCGAACGACCCGAACCCCGAACGGGGGACACAGGTAACAGAAAGGTAACAGAAAGCACCGCAGGGGCCTTACCTGTGTCTTCGCTTCTTCCGTTTCTTGGTCTGGTTTAAAGCCGATTTGGACATTTTTCGGTCGCTGGAGGAAACATCTTCAGAATCTGAAAAGCGGGAGGAGGCACATGCGGCAGAACTGGGGGCGCACTGCGCAGCGCCGGGGACTCCAGGAGCCCGAAGCCAGCGAGGGCCCTACCCGGGTGGCCTACGAAAGCAGCGAGGGCCTGCTCTGTCTCCCCGGGAAGCCCTCCTAGAGGTCGACCCCATCCCTAAGCCCCGGCTGGCTCTACCTATGCCGGCACCCGAATCCAGAGATTCTGAACACATTTCGTTGTAAGAGAGGCTAAGGCCCCAATGCGCTTGGGACAGGAACGGCGTGGGAGTGAGGCAGCCTCCGGTGGTCGCAGGGACCTCCGGCGATACTCCGGCTCTGCGTCCTGCCCGGCGCTTGCAACCGCGGCGACCCGGGCGGAAAGTTGGCCCCTAGGAGCGGAGCCGGGGAGCAGGGAGCTGGGCGCCGGGAAGGGCTGGGGGCTCCCCGGACACAGCCCCTATTTCAGTGCCTACACAATGCGCCCCCACTCGAGTCTGGAGAGATAGTGACGCGCCACTTTTCGTTGCTCTTCCAAATAAAAATAAATAAATAAAGCGATAACGAAAAACGGGGGGAATTGCCGAGTGCCCTCAGAGCTGGAGGGTCGAGCGGAAGGGGATGCTTGGCTGGAAAAGCCGCCCATGCAGGGCGCGGCGGGGTCATCTAGGGGCCCCCGAGCCCGCTAGGCGCGGGGATCTGATATATTGGGGCGTTTAGGTGGGATCGGGTTGCGGCCGCTGAAGTCGCCGCGGTGGTCGGCTTGCCCAAGCTCGTGGGGTGAAAAATAAACCTCGGCTGACCAACGCGGGGGGGTTTGGAATGGAGAAAAGGAGGAAGGAATAGACAACTTTGGACACCAGGGCTGGGGGCGAAGCTGGCACCCGCTTCCCGGGCCGCCCGCACACGGAACGGAATCTGGCTCCAGGAGCGCGGATACTCCAGGAGGCCCGACCGCAGTGGAGCGGCGCAGCTCGGGGTCCCCAGCGCGTCCCACGGGCCCGCACACCTCACCACGGGCTCCGACAACCTAGGCAGGTTTTCAGTGGGTCCCCAACCGGGCGCCGCGGCCAAGCCGGGCCCCACACGGGCACCGGAGATAGGAGCGCCGGTCGGAAACGCTGGCGCTGAAACCAGCGGGCCCCGGGCACAGGCAGGAGCTGCGGCCCCTCGGCCTGGGACGAACTTTTGTGCCCGTAGGCGGCCTTGCGGTGCGAGCGAAGGCCGACGACATGGGGCTCCCGGCTCTAGCCCCCCAGTCGGGCAGCCACACAGCCTCTCCCTCACCTACCCGAGCTGGCCGTCTGGCTGGTGTCCAGCGGCCCCGACGCTCTGCCCAGCGGCTGCAAGTGGACGCTCTGCGGGTCGGACAGCACTTCCAGAAAGGTGGGCTGTGCATAGAAGCCTGGGAGCCCCCCAGGCCCCAGTAGTCCCATGCCGCCTACTCCTGCGGGACTGAGCACGGAGCGTGCAGCCAGCAAGTGCCCAGGGCCCAGGCCGTCGAGGGCAGCCCGCGGGTGGGAGCTGGGGGGCTCCTTGTTCAAACCCAGGATCTCCTGGATGCCGAACCCCGTGCACCTGGCCGGGGCGCCCCCCGAGGTATTCTTGGCCACTGTCTCGGATTTGGGCTTGCTCAGCGCTTCCCCCGCTTTCCCCGTCATCTCCCAGCTCTTCGGCGGGGCCGAGGCCGCAGGTCTTTTGCTTCCCCTAACCCCCCCGCCGGGCTCCCCGCTTCGAGAAGTTGGTCCCAGGTGCCCCCTCCGGTGTCTAACGCTCTGGAGCCCCAAGGAGATTCCCCTTTTATCCAACCAGGCGGCAGCCCAAGTGGGGTCAGAGCTGAGCAGCCAATCACCGGGGCCAGGAGCATTAGGAATTCCAAAAAGCTGGCAGCTCCCGCCGCAGGCAGCACCGAGGGGCCTGGGCGCTGGGGGCCGGGCACGGGGTGGGCTTTGCAGGGCACCCATGGGCAGGAACCCCAGGGGCTAAGACGAGACAATAAGGTTCCTGGGCTGTTCCAGGAGGCAGAGTGGCTTGGGATTCTGGCCAGAGTCTGGCTGGGACATGTCCGTGGGATGGGCTGGGAGGATGGGCTGCAGGCAGATGGTAGAGACTGTGAGTTCCCCCTCCCTCCCTCACCTCTGTGCAGGTTGGCAAGGTCAAAGCCCAAACATGGGACCCCTGTGCAAAAGGCAGAACAAGGGAGGGCACGTGCCCTGGGCAGGGTGTGTGGTAGCAAAAGAGAGAAATCAAGAACAGGCCAGGGTGTGAAAAGGGAGTTGTGAGGCTGGAGAAGGCTCAAGGCTCAGTATCCTGTGCCTTGAGCTATTCAGTAAACATTGACCCAATGAATGAATGAGTGATAAAGTGGTGAGGAGTAAGGGTCCCTGGTGGGAGAGAAGAGCAGTGGTGGCTTCTTTTGGAGGAAAACCATGGACATCTGAACATCTTTCTAGAGCAAGCCTGAAGTTTGCCCAACTTCCATGGAACTTCATTTATTCTTCCACCTGTTCATTCAACCAATACATAGCGAGCACATTACTAGCTTTGAACTAGGAGCCAGGGGGTCCTCAGTCAATCAGATAGACAAGACAAGGGGTCTGCCATACCTCAGAGTTCATGGAACAAACAGAATGAAGAGGAAGGGATTGTTGATGTGGAGGGGAAGGAAGGAGGGTGGGCTTGAGAGAGGAGCTTCTGTCTCAAACTGATGAGGACCCCTGACTGAGTCCTGTGCTGGATGCTGCAGAACTGCAGCCAAGTGGGCCAGCTGGAAAGTGAGAGGCCGCAGGAAACTGCGTTCGGCAGGGTGGGACTCTTATCTGAAGAGAAGAGAAAGGCCTGGATTCCACAGGCCAGCCCTGGAGCTCCTGGATTCCTGCTTGAGAGCTCTCCCAGGAGCATGATCCGCCCTGGACTCAAGTGTCAAGTGAAGGAGATTCTACACACACACACACCATAAACTTCCGAGTCCCTGCACTCCACCACCTCAGCTAACTCTTCTGTGACCTTCTTGGGGCTGGAGACTGTCTTATCCACCATGGCATTCCCCCTCTCCATTATGCCTAGCATACAGTAGGTTTTAAAGAATGTTTCTTGAATCGAAGGCCCACTATAAGGGGAGATACAGACAGGTCAGTTGCTTTAGCTGGAGCCTGGAAAACCAGGCTCAGGGAGAGATGCCATTCAGGATTTCTTGACTAGTCAGCTACAAACCCCCAACTAGATTGAAACCCCCTAATCTGGCCCACTGCCAAGGTATCTAGTACCCTTTGTGGTCGCCATGGGGCCAGACTGAGAGGTAAGAGGAGATCCTATAGCATAGGGAAACTGAGGCCTCACTAACAGGGCTGTTGTGAGGTGGGTCTCCACTTACCCTGGCCTGGTTCACACACAAGAGCCAAAACCAGGCAGATGCGTTTTCTCAGGGCAGGAGGTGTCTGGGAGAGACGTACTGTTCACCCCAAGCAAGGGCTCCCTCCTTATCACATAATGATGGCTTTCCTACCGGGCACACTCTCTATGTGGCATAATGTCTGGTTCTCACAGGAACTTTGTTGGCACCTTGGTTCTACCTCTGAAAGTCAGCATAGCTATTCTTACCTGCAAGGTGCAGACTCAAGGACAGGTATTCTTGAGACATCCTTCGCCTCACATTCTATGGAGCCAGCATCCATGTGGCATCACTCACATAGACAACACCATGAATAGTATCCCCTGGAGTTGTGCAAAGCAGTGGCTCTGCCTTCCAGGTAAGAATTTCTATCCCCATTTTATGAGCATGGAAACAGGTTCCTGGAGAGATTAGGTAACTTGTCCCAAGCTACCCATCCAGTAAGCATCAGAAGCCAGACCCAGCTTCACTTAAGTCTGGTGTCAGTTCTCTTTTGACTTCATCCCTCTCTCAGCCTCCTTTCCATACCAGCCTGCCCTGGAAGGATGAATGGGGATGTTATGTTAATGGCATCTGTCATGCCCCTTACTTATCAAGGGACATCCATGATGAGCCAGATGCCAGCAGATAGGCAAGGACGTGGGTGATGGAAAACAAGCATGTGAGTGATGGAAGCTCAGCTCTTGCCAGGCAATGAGGATGCAAAATCTCTTGACCAAACCCCATGTCTGAAGCTGCCAATTCCTTCTCACAGAGAAATAGTCACCATCCTGCCCTAGGAGTTTGGGGAATGGGGGCAACCCCAGGCCCTCTGACAGGCACCCTTTCCAGAGGCTACAGGTAGAGGGAGGGTCCTGCACCAGCCTGCAGCCAGTTTCTCCCTTGGAACTGGGGGTAGGAAGCTGCCTCTGAGCTTTGGGGTGTCATTGCTGCTGCTCCACAGTGGCTTGCCTGAGTCCAGACCCAGATGCAAGACATTTGTGGACTCTTGCAGGGAGCCCTGCAGGGAAAGGTCGGCCCCAGAGCTTGGGCTGGGGGTGGGGGCAGTGAAGTGTTCCCTTTCAGAGACGGTTAGCTCCGTCACACTGGATCCAAATCCTGGGTCTGCTGCCTCACAGCTCTGTGGCTTTGAGCCAATCATTTAACTTCTGCCTAAGCTTCAATTGCTTTACCTAAAACAGCCTGACTGTGGACTTGTGAGCATCCCCTGACTTCCTGAGTTAGGATAAAGGTTAAGGGCATGGACTGTAGAGCCAGACTGTCTGGGTTCAGATTCTTGGTCTATCAGACCTTGGTAAAGTTGAGAAAATAACCCAACTTCTCTCTGCCTTCTGTGCCTTAGTTTCCTCATCCATAAAAATGGGGATAATGGTAGTACCTACCCCTTAAAATTATCAAGAAGAATAGAAATTTTCAGTGCTGAAAAAGGTGAATAAGGCTATACCATGTGTATATAAAATAAGTTCCTGTGAGTGTTGGTTATCATTACCACCATGCAGGAGGGTACCTGGCATTGGCAATATGGTGGGGGAACAAACAAATCTAGTCCCAGGCTTTATGGAATTTGGGCCAGTGATTGAAGCTGGTAATATTTTTAAAGCACTTAACATAGTGCCTGACCCTGGGGACTCAATACATCATGGCTCTTACTACTATTATTAATGGGTGCCAGACCCCTCATCACATTTAATCCACCCGACTTCTCTGACAAGTGGGGAGTTCTGTCCCTCTTGTTACAAATAAGATACTGGGGCTCAGGGAGGGAGACTCAGGAGGGAGGGTGTCATCTCCCTCCTTGCCTTGGCGCTGATTATTTTTAGCCCCAGCAGCAGCCAAGGGATTCTTCCCTGCTAGCTGCCTCCCTGAGTCACTACCCAGATATTGGCAACAATTTTGGGAAAGACAGAGGTGCAAAGGGCCAGGAAGGGAAAGCATCTGTGTTTGAATCGATAATCCCGTTATGAATCTGTCACCCATGAATCTGTTTCACATGTTTTTAATGCTCTTGTGTATACTGGGCTGACCTCTTGAGAGTAAACCTTGTCTTTTGTTGTGCTGGACAGTTCTCTTGGGAGCATCTCAAGGTCCTGCTCTCAGCCTCCTGCCCTGAGACATGGGACCAGATATTCCACTCCCTTTGCTCCATCAAGGGGCTGACACTAGGAAAAAGCAAGAGGGATTCTGACTCACATTTAACTTACACACAATGAACACTCATTAATGTTCATTTTTTTTACATTGTTTCAATGAATCTTCCCATCTACCCTGAAAGATGTGTATCATTTTTCAAATGGGGGAGCAACCTCAGAGAAGCTAGGTGATCTCTCCAGGAACATGTAGCTGCCAAGGGTCAAGCAGATTCACCTGCATTCTTGTTTTCTTGGGGATAGACTCAGCCCCAAGCCAAGGAAGGACCTTGGATATAGGGAAGCAAATGATGTCCCAGCAGTGCTTGAATTACCTTCCTGTCCACCAAGAATGTGGGAGAGAGAAGGGTTGAGAAGGGCTACTGAGGGCAACTGGAAAACCCCCACAGTCCAGGCTGCTAAATGCATCCTCCTTCAACTTCCTGGGCCTCTTTCCTTCTCCCAGTTCTATACCTTTTGGACTCCTCTTGGAGGACCCCAGGGAGTGGGAAGGAAGGAACAGACTCTTGGCAATGCCTTCAGGTCAGCCTTAGGGAAGGCCCCGTCTCCTGTCAGTCACCTTCCAGGTGCCACCTGTAACTCCGCTGAGGACCATATCCCAGCAGCACACCACCTTCCAGGTTCCAGCTGCCCCCCAAAGCCCTGCGCCCTCCTCCTCAACATTAACCCTTCCTCAATCTGTCATGGGAAAAGAAGAACATCCCCCACGTGTGGCCTTGTCTTTTCCACAGTGTATCTATGAACAGCATGGAACCATAAAGAATGGCAAGTCTTAGAGGACTTGCTCCACTGTCAGCTTGCTGAGTGCCACTGGGCTATGTCTCAGTTTCCCTTCAGTCTCAGGTGGTAGGAATGACCACATTCCTGATGCCCAGAGAAGGTGTTTGTTCTGTTTTATCTCACAGGTCTGTTGCAAGATAATCATTCAACTTATCTTAGGTATTTATTGAGCACCTACTATGGGCTAGATGCTTTTGGTGGAAATCTTGTGGGGCGAAAGAAAGCAGATTCCTGTTCTCATGGAATTTAGATCCTGGTTATGGGAGAAAGTTAACAAGCAGGCGAGTAAATAAATAAGCAAGATAATTTAAGAAGGCAAAAAGTGCTCAGGAGACAATAAAAGGCTGGGTGAGGTGTATAGACTGACTCTTGGAAGGGTCTCTTTTGGATGCAGGACAGGAAAGACTTTCTGGGGAGTCAACACTTG